AGAACTATACAGGACATTCCATCCCTAAACAGCAGAATACATATTCTTTTCAAGGACACCTGGAACATCTTTCAGGATATATCACATGTTAGGGCAGAAAACAAGTTTCAGTAAATTAAAAAAGATTGAAATCATATCATGCACCTTTTCCAACCAAAACAATGTGAAACTAGAAATTGATCACAAGAAAAAAATCTAGAAAGAACACAAATACATGAAGGCTGAACACCATGCTACCAACCAATGAATGGGTCAACCAAGAAACTGACAAGGAAATAAAAAAACACATGAAGAAAAAGGAAAATGAAAACACAACATTCCAAAATCTTTGGGATGTAGCAAAAGTGGTTCTAAGAGGGGCATCTATAGTAATATAGGCCTACCCAAGGCACAAGAAAAATCTCAAATATACAACCCAACTTAGACCTAAAGGAGTTAGGAAAAGAGGAACAAAGCCCAAAGCTAGGAGAAGGAAGGAAATAATAAACATTAGAGTAGAAATAAATTACCACTACAGACCAAAAACAATAACAACAACAAAAAACCCAGAAAAGATAAATGAAACCAGGAGCAGCTTCTTTGAAAAGATCAACAAAAAATTGATAACTATTTAACCAGATTAATCAAGAAAGAGAAAGAGGACACAAATAAAATCAGAAATGAGGGAAAAGAAAAAACAACTGATGCCACAGACATACAAAAGACTATAAGAGGTAATTATGAAAAGGTATACGCCAACAAGTGGGACAACTTAGAAGAAAATTTCTAGAAACATACAACCTTCCAAAACTGAATCAGGAGGAAACAGAAAATTTGAACAGGCTGATTAGTAGCAATAAAATTGAATCAGTAATCAAAACCTTCCAACAAATAAAAGTGCAGGGCCAGATGGCTCCACAGGTGAATTCTACCAAACATTCAATTAAGAATTAATACCTATTCTTCTTAAACTATGCCAAAAAAGTAGAAGACTAAAGAGACTTCCAAATTGAGTCTATGAGGTCAACATTACCCTGATACCAAACCCAGACAGAGATACTACAGAAAGAAGAAGAAGAAGAAGAAGAAGAAGAAGAAGAAGAAGAAGAAGAAGGAGGAGGAGGAGGAGGAGGAGGAGGGGGGAGGAGGAGGAGGGGGAGGAGGAGGAGAGAAGGGGAAAGGGAAGGGGAAGGAGAAGGAGAAGAAAACTACAGGCAAGTATCTCTGATGAACATGGATCCAAAAATCCTAAACAAAATATTAGCAAACCAAATCCAACAGTACATTAAAAAACCACTCACCACAATCAAATGGGATTTATTTCAGGGATGCAAGGGGTGGTCCAATATTTGTAAATCAAACAATGTGGTACATCACATCAACAAAAGAAAGGATAAAAACAATATGATTATTTCATCTATTATTTTAAAAAGTCAATTCTCCACAAAATACTAGCAAATTGAATCCAACAGTACATTAAAAGAATTATTTACCACGATCAAGTGGGATTTATTTATTCCTGGGCTGCAGCAGTGCTACAATATTCACCAATCAACACGATACACCACATTAATAAAAGAAAGGATAAGAACCATATGATACACTCAATAGATCAGAAAAGGCATTTGATAAAATACAGTATCCATTCTCCATAAAAGAGCTCAACAAGGTAGGGATAGATGGAACGTACCTCAACATCATAAAGGCCATATACTAAAGACCCATACCTAATATCATCCTCAATGGAGAAAAACTAAGAGGTTTTCCTCTATGTTCAGGAAGAAGACAGGGATGTCCACTCTCACCATTACTATTTGACATAGAACTGGAAGTCTTAGCCTCAGCAATCAGAGAACAAAAAGAAATAAAAGGCATCCAAATCAGCAATGAGGAAGTTAAGCTTTCACTATTTGCAGACGACATGAAACGCTATGCAAAAAACCTGAAAGACTTCGCCGTGCTAGAACTAATACATGAACCCAGCAAAGTCTCAGGATGTAAAATTAATGTACAGTAATCTGTTGCATTTCTATACACTGATAATGAAGCAGCAGGAAGAGAAATCAAGGAATCAATCCCATTTAATATTGCACCCAAACCCATAAGATTCCTAGGAATAAGCCTAACCAAAGAGGTAAAATATCTGTATTCTGAAAACTATAGAACACTTATGAAAGAAATTGAAGAGGACACAAAGAAATGGAGAAAAAGAAAACATTCCTATGCTCATGGGTTGGAAGAATAAACATTGTTAAAACGTGTATACTACCCAAAGCAATCTACACATTCAATGCAATCACTATCAAAACAACATCAGCATTTTTCACAGAGCTAGAACAAATAATTCTAAAATTTGTGTGCAATCACAAAATACCTTAAATAGCCAAAGCAATCCTGAAAAAGACAAGCAAAGTTGGAGGCATCAAGATTCCAGACTTCAAGCTATGTTACAAAGCTGTAGTCATTAAGACAGTATGGTACTGGCACAAAAACACACACATAGATCAATAGAACAGAGTAGAAAACCCAGAAATGGACCCACAACTATATGGTCAACTCATCTTCAACAAACCAGGAGAGAATATCCAATGGAAAAAAAAAGACAAGTCTTTTCAACAAATGGTGTTGGGTCATATTTTCTTGCTTCTTTGTATTTCTAGTGATTTTTTTTTTGTTTTATGATGCTGGAATTATGAATATATTATAGAGACAGTGGATTATGTTACTCTTCTCTATAGATTGTTGCCTTTTGTTCTGGGATGCAGTTCCTAGTAGATCACCCTGATCCTGCTAAGACTTAGATTTAGCCTTTGTTATGATAGGTCTAGTTCAGCTTTGCCCTTAACCTGATGGCCTAGTCCTTATTCTTAGGGTATGGATTTCAGAGCTGTCATCTTAACGTCTGCTTTGTTCATCAAAGAGTCTCCACTCTCACTAGGCCAGAATCCTAACAGCTCCCCAGTGCTGTGGATCCTCTGTGACATCTCTTCAGGTCCTAGTCTTCCAAGAGCTGCTGTGTCCTAGACATATAGAGTCTTGCCATGAACATACAAAATTTAGAATTTAGCTAAGAACTCAAGGGAGTCCTCTATGCGTATGCCTGAGGGTCCTTTTCTTTGGCTTTTTCCTTTTCATGTCTTGCCCCACAGATTCCAGCTGTCCTAGCATCCCTGAACACTGATCTTTATTCCACTAGTAGAGGCTGCTGCTGTTCGCTTGGGCTCCATTCCACTAGGTTTGATTTGGAAACTGCCCTTAGAGAGAAAGGGTGAAAATGGTAGTTCATTTTCTTGCCTTTTCTTAAGAATTTCCTCCCTGAGCTGTCTGCTTCTCAAAGCTTTCAAATAGATGCTTTATATATTTTTTCCAGTCATATACTTGTTTATGGTTAGAGGGTGGTAGTGTGATATTAGCTACTACTTTACATCTAAAATCTGAAGTCTGATAGCTTACTTTTAAAGGACTTGTTTTCTGCATTCCAGCCCATCAGGAGGTCATATAGACCCCAAGGACCAGGAGAGACTGGAAACCTGGAGACTTAAATTAGATCTGTGACCTTGGGCAAATGGCTTTACTTCTCGGGATCTCCTTAGTGTCACTGTATATAAGATGGGGGTAAATATTGGCTTTGTCCATCCATAAATTGCTGATTTGTAATAACCTGGAAAGATTAAAAAATATAATTACTATACTCATACCCATACAGATTCTGATTCAGAAGGTCTGGGTGGCGAGCCCAGAATTTCTTTCTAATAAACACCCCAGGTAATTGTGGTGTTCATCCACATTCGGGAAATACTGAATTGATAATTTCCCAAGTGTCTTCAGGTCTAAAATCCTGTTAGTGTGTATGCTTGCTATTAAAGAATGGTACCTAGAGCTCTGAGAGATCAAGTCAAATGATAGACAACTTTTGTCAAGGTAGAAGCTTGTGTGGAGAGTAGAAGACAGAAAAAGACAAAAGCAAACTAAAGAGGAAGAACAAATTTGCATGTTTGCCTATGTTGAGAATCTTAGCCTGCAGGATTCAATTTGAGAGCACCAAGAAGCTAGAAAGCCAATCGCGCTTCAAGAAAAGTGGGTGGAAGGCAGGGATAGTCAAAGGCACTTTTGACCAGTTAGTAACTTAGGAAAAGGCTGTTCTTGGCAGAGGTTAGGAGCATTTACTTGATAGAAATTATTTTGTTGCAATTAATCTTATATTCCATGGGAAGACAGAGTAAGGGGATCAGAGAAATCTAGCTTCTTGTTTGAGCTAGACATACTGCAATTCATTCCTAGAATGAATCAGAATATGAAGAAATGACTGAATGTTCTACCCTAATTTATGAGAGCCTTTTGTGTTGATCTTTCCAAATTCTAAGCACTTCTTTTTATTAAAGTCGCAGCATATTTACTTGTTTCTTCCCAAGAGTTTGCCAGATCCAAGAAAATGAAGACCTTAGCTTCATGGATTTCAGTAGCTCTCGTCAGGAGGAAGTTTAGGCTAGTGGTTACAAAATAGGTGCCTGGATTCCGTATTTGTATTGGATATTGGCAGCCAGAAGTCAGTAGAAGGGTTCAGTGTCAGGTATATTACTGGGCATTCAAAAATAGTAATGATGATAATTTTTTTTCCACAATGAATTTTCTTTTAATAGTACTGGATAAATGTCTGTGGAAATAATTGTCTCTAAAAGCCAAATCAACCAATATTAAGGGTATAAATAAACACTTCTTATTCCTTTGGGAAAATAATCTCTGAGGAAATGGTTTTGAGGGAGTCTTTGTCTTAATAATTAGGCCACTGAGATCTGTAATCCGAATAAAACTTCTTATTTCCTGTTATTCTCTGGTCTGGAAAAGGCGCATCTCCTTCCTTATAGTTATAGCTTCCAAATTAACAATTGGAAATCATGTTCTTCAGTGTAGAAATGGCTACAAGATAAATTAGGGTTTCTGATCCTTTAGATCAGATTGGAAGGGGAGGGTTCTTAGCTCAAACTACCATTTTCTATTCATTATGGTAATTTTCTATCGCAGGACAATTGTGGAAAAGAAACAGTAGAGTATAGCATTACAGCTCTAAACTGAAGGAAGGTGAGTGACTTCCTAACCCTGTCAGTCATGTAACATAGTGGTTATGAGGGTACACCTGAGAGTCAGACTGCTAAAATCCACCTTCTGGCCGCACCCCAGTATTTTGAGGACTTTGTTGTCTCATCTGCAAAATAGGGATAATAATATTGTCATACAGCTCTTAGTGTCTAGCATCTCATAGGAACCACTTAAGTAGGTGCTAGCTTTAAAAAATTATCATGAAATCTAAACCCACTTGAGCTAGGAGAGACTGTAAAAATGTGGCCTCACCTTCTTGATTTGACAGCAGTGACCCAGTGGTGGGGGTTCGAGGGGTTGCAGTGTCTTTTGACAGGACTCTCTTCAGGGAAGAGGCCCAGGGTTTAGCAATGGAAGCACAGGCAGGAGATAGAAGGACATAGAACATGGACTAACTTAAAGATCTAAAAGATATCTGTCTTATTTTTTAATGAATTGGGATATGAATAAATTACTGTTTTCTCTCTGGAGGCAAAGTTTAGACTCTAACTGTTCTCTCTGGAAGATAAAGTCACTTGGGCTGTAGGACAGATCCATAACAAACAGCAAAAGCCTTCCTACCATCTGTCTTAACGTTCAAATCTCTCTGTGGATTCCATTCTTCAGAATGGGGGATGGATCCTGGGTGAGTGGTGGTATTTCTTTCTGTCTAACTGGTTCTCTTTTCTTTTCTCCAGACTGCCCTTGCTCCACTCATCCCCAAGAGGAGAATGGCAGCTAAGAACTCTTCTGTGACAGAGTTTATCCTTACAGGTTTAACAGACCAGCTGGAACTCCAGATCCCTCTCTTCTTCCTGTTTCTAGGTTTCTACATGGTCACTGTGCTGGGAAACCTGGCCTTGATAGCCCTGATTCGGTTGAATTCTTGCCTACACACTCCCATGTACTTTTTCCTCTTCAACCTCTCCTTGATAGATTTCTGCTACTCCACTACCATCACCCCCAAAATGCTGAAGAGTTTTTTCTCAAAGAAGAACATCATCTTGCATGCAGAGTGTATGACTCAACTCTTTTTCTTCTGCTTCTTTGTCATTTCTGAGTCCTTCCTCCTGTCAGTGATGGCATATGACCGCTATGTAGCCATCTGTAAACCATTGGTGTACATGGTCACCATGTCTCCTCAGGTCTGTCTATTCCTTTTGTTGGGTGTCTACGTGATGGGGCTTTCAGGGGCTATGGTCCATACGGGAAGCATAGCAAGTCTGACCTTCTGTGCTGACAACCTTCTCAATCATTTCATGTGTGACATCCTTCCTCTCCTCGAGCTGTCCTGCAACAGCACTTATGTAAATGAACTGGTGGTCTTCATCCTTGTGGCCATTGACATTGGAATGCCCATTATCACCATCTTCATCTCTTATGCTCTGATTCTGTCCAGCATTCTGCACATTCACTCCACTGAGGGCAGGTCCAAAGCTTTCAGTACATGTAGCTCTCATATAATTGTGGTTTCTCTTTTCTTTGGTTCTGGGGCTTTCATGTATCTCAAACCACCTTCTATTTTGCCCCTGGACCAAGGGAAAGTGTCCTCTCTGTTCTATACCATTGTGGTGCCCATGTTAAACCCACTGATCTACAGTTTGAGGAACAAGGATGTCAAAGTTTCCCTGAGGAACACCTTGGAAAGAAAAATATCTTCTTGAAAAAGTAGCATTTGAAGAAGATACAATGCTTTGTTTATTGGTGTGTGTGTTTTCCAAGACAGATCCAAGTTCTAGTTTTTTCTCTTCTGTAAAAAAGAGAATTTTAAGTCTTTATGTTTCATGGATGTTTACTACATATCTATTTTCTGTATCCCGTGACCCACCTCGACTATTCCACGACTCTTTTATGCATTTTTT